AGAGGATCTACTGCTCCAGCCTGCGTCTGTTTCAGAGCAAATATCAGGTATTTGTTTTAGTATAGCTGGCAAAATGTCCCCTGGCTCTCATCATAGAAGCTGCTCCTGAGCTACCCAGGATTCAGTGTTATTTCCAGTGGGAAGCTTTAAGACTGTAAAACTGCAGGGCAGAAACAAGGAATGAACATCTCAGACAACTGTGCCATGGGGGCAGAAGGGAAAAATGCGCCTGGATCCCCTTTTCCCCATTCCAGTCTAGGCTTTTCCCATGCACCATCCAGAGCCCCTTCTATGTCAGATTTTTCATCTTTTTTCTTAATTTTCTTAATCAATAGTGCTTAGTCTGCTTGAAGAACAGGCTTCACAATCAAGAGCATTTCTAAATTCTAAATTTCAAAAAAGCTGCTTTTTACATAAATATATTGAGTGATTTTATGTGACTCTTCAGCAATCTGTCAGTTTTCTATTTCCCCACTGACACACTGGCTTCTATGATTTGTCACAAAGATTATCTCTGTCACATTGTGTGACATAACACAAAGAAGCTCAGAAAATGTGGTGTGACATGCCAACTAATGCACTGAGCCATCAGGGAATTTTAAAAGCAGTACATGTTTTAAAACTTAGTTGACTTCTTTCTGCCCTTCTTCATCCCTCGTCTCCTCAAAGCCCAAATGGTTTCCCTGAAAATTTGTGAGTCATCTCTTCAATACCTACATTTAAGCACGAAGTTCCTAGAACAAGTGTTTCCTCATAATCCAAAGCACAGAGAAGTTATTTGTATTTAGTGCAATCCAGAGTCTGAAATCACATGCACAAAGACTCTTCTGGATGTGGGTAAAGAAAAAAGCTACCAAGAGCAAAGCCATGTTTGGAGAAGATCAATAAATAAAATTGCAGTCACCAAACAAGGAGACAGTACACCCTAAGAAACAGCTCTTTCTTCTTGAAATCGCTTTTGCTTTCTGCTCCATGAACAGTTGCATAATGCAGATGCATGCATGCTGCCACATGTCCACAGAGCCAGCTGAAAATGGGCTAGTCCCCAGAAATTTCAGAGCACACTTGAAAGGCTGAAAGCCGTTTTAAGACTGAGAACTATATCTAGAGTCATAGAATATGAACATAAAACAGTAGAAAACAGTCCATAAGAAAAGGTATCACAATACTACAATGTCATGTTGTAGGGTCTCCCCTAGCAGCAGAAAGTCATTTTATTATCAGGTTTATTTTGAATTGCTGTGCTACAGTGGTATCTTTGCATCCTTCTTATATAAGCCTATTTTTATTGGCTTTGTCATGCTAAGAGGAAAAAAAGCCAAACACAACATATTTCCTGTTCTCAGGAACATTCACAGGTTTTAGAGAAACCTATTCCCCAAAAAAACTGAACTCAGAAGTTAGTTTGTTGTAACACTATGATCAGAGAGTGTATTCTTTTTCTTTTTAATTTATTATAGTAATTAATTTACTATATTATCATTTTATATTTATATATCAATATATTTTATATATGTTTATATATAAATATAATATTTATTCTATTATAGTGTCATGACACTGGCTAATGAGAATAATTCTAGAATTGAGGTTCCATTATTATTCTACAGTGAGAAAATTCTTAAGAGTAACTTCAATTAAATTCGAGGATTATGTTTAAATGTGGACAACTCCTGAATTTGCCACAAGAATTTATCAAGCTTCAGGAAGAAATTCTCAAAGCATTTAGGTGGTCAGCTGGAAAATTTAGTTATTGTACCTAAAGAACTAAAACATGGGTAATTCCTTACTCATAGTAGAAATCCTAAAAATACTAAGAAATACCATAATATCCTAAATATATACAATCCTAAAAATGCTTAGAATACAGGAATCAGTGTGCTCTCTGACCTAAATTCCATTTGCTGAGTATAATTTTATATTAAATGGATTATATAGAGGTTATATATAGGCTATCTCATAATAATGTCATCACTTTCCTGTTTTAGCTGTAAAAAGTCTGTGTACTTGGGGGACATATGCAGAACATAACATTGTAATCACTTTTTCTCTGCAGATTTTAAGAGTATAATCAAAACATCATAGTTAAAAAAAACCTCAAACCCCAAAGCATCCCAAGCTATGTCTTGATTCAAGCAATTTTAACTTCTTATATAATAAAATCAGATTTAATGGTTTATATAAAAAGAATGAGGCAGTGCAAAATATCATTTAATGTACAGTATATTTTAGGAGTGTCTACTTAGAAACATACAGTGTTTTTTTCTCTTTCTTACTGCAACCCTCGTTTAAAGAGGAGCTCCTTAATATATATGCATATATTATATTTCAGATTTTCATATGAAAATATCTGTAGAGGTAGAAAACAACATTATTGTTTTGTTGAGATAAGAGGTGGCAGACCTTGGTAGCACCACAGAAATCATATTTGAAATTCAGTACCAGCAGTCCTGTAACCCCAAGAATGTCCAGCACCATAGGGCTGGCCTCCTCCTATACACACTATGCTCACAAACAGAGCATGGTTAGCCAAGCTGGCTGCACACCCAGATCTCAGGGACTGAACAAAACCCCACAACCTGGGACCCCATTTCAGACAGAAACAGTGTGAGGGAAGTTAGGACTTCAGTTTATAAAGTCACGAAAGCAATGGATAAACTGCAGTTTAGCAAATCCTGCAGCACAAGAAGGAGGTGGCCACTTGATAAAAGCAGTGGGAGAGAGAAAACCCAAAGCAGATAAAAGTGTTTCTTTGGACAACAGAGACTGTGCTGCCACAGGAGGCTGTGAAGGCAGACAGTATTAGAAGGCTCAATGACAGATTCAGGAACTCTGCATGGCATGTACTAAAAGGACTGGGCAAGGATGCACCCTCTCACATGTCTGATAAAGCTGTGGTAAAGATAAAGATCCTGGAAAAACACAAGGACAGAGGACCAGGGAACATGTACAAGTGCACAAAGCCTTTCTTAACCCACATCTCCCAGTGTCACCATTGGAGACAGACTATGAGGACTGACAGACTGCCACTCTAGCTAGGAGGGCATTTGTTACACTTTCCTGTCATCAGCTGGGACCTCTGTCTATAGGAAGTAATTCCTTCCAATAGCATGCCCTCTGACCACTATGGTACTTGATACAGAAATATCACTGACCTTTTCACAAAGAAGAAAAATCAGCAGCATCCATGATTATTTCATATAAAAACCCTGAAGTTAACAAGAAATCTGCTTTCTCACTTGTCTTATCCTAGAGCTATTTTTAACTGGAAAAGACATTTCTGTCAGATGGTCTTGCAGAAATTAATTTGGCACTGACCAATGAAGAACTGTACAAGTAACAGGAAAGCATCTTGCTTTCCACCCTGTGTAAAGTTGGTGTTCTGAAGACATAGTTGAAGGTTATTAAATCCAAATCCCTTCCATGGGATTTGCATTAGGTAGATAATTCTTTAGTCAGTTGTACCATGCAACCCTGTTAAACTGCACTGAGAGTGTAACTGAGGTTACATTCTATCCAAGGAGAATGTACACCATAAAAATTATACTTAAAAGACATGTTGAATCCATATTGCAAGTGGAATTAATTTTGCCATACCACAACAGCAATCTTTCTGTCAAGCTAATCAATGAAAGATGCATGTCCTATCAAATTCCCTTCATTTTTATACCCCCATTTCCCTCAAAGACAAACAAAAGGACAAGCATGACTTCACTAATTATGATTAAAAATTAGACTAGCGATTGCTTTATGTTTACACCATAAATAAAAGATAAATATAGGAGATCTGTGTCAAACTCGCCAAATGCTTCCAATTTGCAGCACTTACAAGTAAGGTTAAAGTGTGACATTTTTGTTTCAAGTAAAACACATAAAGCACACATTCTAGTACAACATTAATTGCAGTAAAAACGGTATATACAATATAACATTTGGACACAAATTTTCCCATTCTGGTTTAAACAATCTGTCTTTTGCATTGCCATGTACAGTATGTTAAAAAGGCTTAACAACTTAATTTAGAAGTTTCATACTCTTCCAATTAAAGCACATGGTACTAAATGGCAAATCTTACTGCTAAACTAAAATGTACTGAACAGCAAACTTTGCAATTAAATTACCAATTTAATGTGAAGAAAAAGGAAAAAGAACCAAAATTTCTCCCACTTTTCTAATAATATATTATTATTTACAATCACTTCATAATTTCCTAGTTTAAAAGTAAAACACTCTCAAAGTGATGTTTTTTTCTCAGCTTATTTAATCATGTATATATCTTAAGAAGCTAAAGTAGTCAAGCATATTTTTTGGAAAGTGTTCAGATTCTATAAAAATGTCTAAAATTTGACAAAATTAACTGATTCTGCTGTACATTACAGCTCAACAGAGAAAAGCATCATGAATGACCTGCTAACCTCTCTCCTTTCCTACATGTGGAGTATTCAGTAGGGATTATTCATATCTAAGGAGAAAAATGTTTCTTTGATAATGATGAAGCAGTTAGCAAGGAGACAAACGGATGTATCTGTTACAGATATATATTATATAACACCTCATGCCTGAGACATGGCTTCATATGAAACTTGAAGTTCCCCAAAGACAAGTGCAAGGTCCTCCTTGGGTTGGGGCAGTACAAAGTCCAAATACAGGCTGGGCAGAGAATGGATTGAGAATAGCCCTAAGGAGAAAGACTTGGGATTGTAGGTGTATGAGAAGTTCAACATGACCCAGCCATGGTTATTCACAGCCCAGGGAGCCAAACGTGTCCTGGGCACCATCCAAAGCAGCGTGGCCAGCAGGGCGAGGAAGGGGTTCTGGCCCTCTACTTTCCTGAGACACCACAGCAGTGCTGCATCCAGCTTAGGGACTAATGGGAAAGCATTGGCTTGTTAGAGCAAGTCCAGACATCTTTTTTAAGAAGAAGAAATTTTAACTGTTCCTTCTTCTTTTAACACTCGACACCTGCCTGTAAAGACTTTAAAGGAGTCTGCCTGAATAAGTGTCATATAAGCATTATATTTTTTTGATCAGATACATTTTCTAGCAGAAAATTTTTTCTCTTTCCTTGGTTTCATTGGTCATTGGAGGCCACCCCTGTTCTTCCTGCAATAAAAAGAGAACAGGCATTATCACAGTTATCATACTTTGCTCTATTTAACAGATTAAATTTTTCATGTTAAAAGGGAATCTACAGATAGACTATAACACAATATAAGTAAATCAAATTGGTTTTGTTTTTCTTTGTTTTTAAGAAGAAAAAACATATTAAGTTTGATTAATTGGAGGGAAAGCTTTTAAACATATGATCAGTTCAAAGCAGTTCAAAATAGCAGACTACCTCCACATATTATATATGCATACATATAGGCTACAATTGCCAGTAGGCTTTAACTGTTAAAAGAAGTGAGACCAAATTAAATTATATACTTCATATAATTAAAAATAAATAGAAAAATATAACAATTCTTCTTTAGAGCTCAAAGAACACATCAGAGAACAGAAAATTAATCTGATGACCTGTCTCAGAAAAACTGACCACATACCCAAGTCAAAGTGGGCAAAGTGGCTTAGCCTAAATGAAAGATAGAATTTTATTATATTGGCACATTTACACATTTTCAAAATATGACATTTTATTCTGAAAAGTCAAAATGCTGCATTTTTTACATTTTCTAAATAAAATACTTCAACATTTCCAAGCATATGTCAGCAGGTTAAATACTTCCCACAATATTTTCAGAAGTCAGAGTTATGTAGGCAGGAAAAACTTTACCTAGTCATTCATCCTATATTCAATACAAACCAAATGCACACTTACAGTGCAAGCATGAGGACAATATAAGCCTTAGGACACAGTTCTTACATTTTCACCAAAAGTATCAATTCAGAGCCCTGAAGCCCTCTATGGAAGTCAATTCCCACTTTACAGTGTACCTCTTACTAAAGCTACCAGTTCTGTGATGAAAATGTTCTGGCTTAGTAAGGAAGCATATAAATCTCAAATTATAGGTTGTAGAAAGGAAAGAAAGAAGCAAGTATATTTTTCTTACTGTTTTGGAAACATATATGATTAAGAGCAAAAAAAGTAAATTTTCATTTTGAAATCAAACATAGATCTTGACAATTGTTTCCCTTTGTTTCTCCAAGATGTTTGCATCCATTTTGATTCAGACAAAACCAAGCCTGAAACACACTCCATTTGGGGAAGCACAAGAAACAGTGCACTGTAAGAAAGCTGAAAACTTTAGTTCTCAGGAATTTGTAGGAAAAGTCAATGGAAACCAGAGTTTAGATTGACAAAATTGCCAGAAGCAGCAACAGAAGTGTTAATAGCTTTCTTCCTACCCTGCAAAGCCTGCTGGTTCACTCTACATGGACAAGATAAATACCACCAACAGTAAAATACTGCCTACAGAAATTGAGAGCAACACATCCTACAACACCTGTGTTGATCATACCCAAAAAGCCACACATAACATCTACCACATGCCTAAAATTATACAGTGCCACTCTGAAGGCATAGAACATCTGCTTGAAATTAAGCTTTATGGAGGAAAGGAAATATAGGATGAAACTACCCATGCATCAGATTCCTTACCAACAGGAATATAGTAATTTTCAGCCACCAACACTCCCCTAGTGGAAAAATACACAACAAAATACAAGTTACTGCTAATTGCCTGCTAAGCTGATGCTATAATTGTTTTGTGAGAAAGTGAATGAGGATGTTTGTGAGTCTCATGGAAAACACAGCTAAAAATATTTCTTCAAATAAGTTCTGTTTGGAACCAGATCATGTTATTAAAGTCTCACAAAAAAGAAATCACTTTTTCATTTAAGTGACAGGATGTAATCTGATGGAAATGACTCACAGGAGATCTCATACTGAAGCAAAGCACTCTGCAGGGAGAATAAAAGGAACAGGAAAGAGATCATGCTTAGGACTATCCCGTGAGATCATAGCACAATGAGGGGCAAAATATGCAAAATGCAGTGTGAGTGAATGCAGTGTTCCAGTACACATTTAAACATTCCAGTATCTCCAGAAAAGCAGACCAATTCCAACAAAAGATGGACACTTAGTGTTTTTATAATTTCCAGTTAAATACTGACTTCTGTAATTTACAAATGGATATGGACATAGAACACAGATGTCACAGTTAGGATTCAGAAAGCCTTAATGAATTTTCTCTTTAAAAACACAGAGCTCCTGTTAGATTGTCAAAAACAAGTAAATCAAATCCTCCTTGATTTAAGCAACTTCTACTGCTTGGTTGACATGCTGCAACTGGCACACTTCACTTTGCATGTTCACACATAGAAAATTTGAAATCACAAAATTAAAGAAATTAAAAGACCCAAACATTCCAGCAATCAGATGGAAAGAAGGCATGGATAAGGAGGCTTTTCCTGTTAATAAGTCTCAACTGCAAAAAATAAGGCATGGCCTTGAAAAATACCAAAGAACTGCAATTCTGAAATTGAATGAAACTGTATGTTCTGGCATTGCTGGAATAGTGAAAAAAGTGGCAGTAATACAGGTGTTTTAGTGTAGAGCCTTCAGAGACTTTTTTTCAGTTTCAACCAAATAAACAACCAGTTGTTTACCCTTTTTGACACCAAAACAAAAAACAAACCCAAGAGTAGAGATACAGGACTAGCAAAGAAAGGCAAACAAGTCTCCACAACTCAATAAACAATTCTAACAGCAAGCGCACACTGATTTTGCACTGCCATCTTTATTAAGAACACCAAAGGCTACATTACTACTAGGCAACAGCAAGCATGGAAAAATAACATGAACTTATCAATCCAAGTAAACTGAATACTGCAGCCCTTCCTCAAAAAAAAACCCAACAACAACAACCAAAACCACCAACAAACTATTTGTGGGAACAAAATTCTTCTTCTGAAACAAGAAACAGGCAAAGAAATCATGCTAGAATTAATCAAGTCAAATAATGTTTTTTGCTGCTGCCAGAGCTTTAACTATCACATATGTTCTGATGTATTAGGGGAACTGCTCTTTGCTCCTTGTTTTGAGATTCTGTTGGTTGTATTTCTTTTATCTAGTTATCCCCCACCAAGGAATTTGTGTTCAAACTCAATGCAACAATTTCTCTTCATGATGCCATCATGACTAGAAAAAGTGTTCTCTAGTGCACATGCTGAGATTAAAACTATTTGAATTTGAAGTCTTCAAACCAAAAGACTTCAAAACAGTAAGTCATACAGGAACAAAACACACAAAGGCATTTTGGAAAACAAATTCCCAGGAACAATGGAAATTGGTTCTTTATCAAAGACCTGTCTACATATCTCACTTTAAAAAGTCAGTGGAGAGCAGACCTACTAGAAAACCCAGCAGTTTTCTGTCAAAATTTTGCCAAAACTTTGGTTCTGTCTTACTACAATATACCTAAAAATATGGTTCTTCAAGGAAGAGGACAGGCATTTCAGTAATTACTCTTGAGAAAAGAGGAAGGAAAAATAATCATAGAAGAACTTTAGAAAAATGGATATGACTACATTGATTAAATATTTTATATATTTGGGGGTTTTAATATAGTTTTATAACTCCTAGATAGGAGGCTTTAAAGGATCTAGTAGAAGAAGCATCACAGCAAACTGAAGATACTGGAAAGCATGAGGAATCTCTAAATTGTGCAAACCTCCTTAAATTCACTGGACAAAAAGAGACAAGCTTATATGAAAATACACAGATTTTGCCTTTTCATGTTAGAAAAGATACACAGGAGAAGTAAAAATTTTCCTTCAACTTCTTCATGAATTTGCAATATAAGAAGACCACTACTATAAATCAGGATGAAATGGGTTTACCGTTCCATCTGTTCTGTACTTTATTTTGTGACAGACTATTTGAACATCATTCAACAAATCTGGAACAAGGCTATGACTTTCAAAGGCCACAGGAAGATCAAGGTTAACATAAAGCATTCTTCAGAAGTCTGTGTTAGTGCATATTTGTAACTTCATGTTGAAGTTTCATCTGAAAAAGTTAAAGCAGTTTAGTAATATTGATATTTACATTTTTGCAAAACTATGCCTCTTTCCTGTTTTTTGAATATTTTTAAATTAAAGGGGCTTGTTTTCATGTGAGAGTTTTTGTTTTCCTTAAACATGGAAGCACTAACCAGAAACAGGAAGTAAGAACTGACAGAGATCATTTGATGAAAAGACTTGAGTATTTGCCTTCTGAGGCCAAATTCACAGCATCACAAGTTCCAACAAAAGCTTTCAGGATATACGTACTTTTTTAGATAAGTAAGAAAACAAAAACTGGAAAATATTTCTTGTCAGCACAGAATATTGTAAAACTAAACCACTGAAAACTTGTTTCAGCTGCTTAAAATTTAAAATTAGTACATGAATAGTAAAGGCAAACCAAGAACATTAATTATATGTGCATATGCATAAAGTATACTATACATTTAAAAATAATTTGAGGTAGTATCTATTTCTTTTTGTTTTCCTTAGTATTCATTATGGCATTATATTCAACCTCCTTTTGTTGACTAAGTCTCCCAAATCTCTCAGGATATGTATCAAACACCATTAAGTTTTAAGGGTTAGTTTCTCTTTTTGCTTTATTGCAATGATTTTTTTATATATATTTTTATATATGTAATATATATATTAATTATAATATATATAATTAAATATATTATATATATGTATCACCAGTTTAACATCAAGGAATGAAGAAAGGAAGGGAAATGGTACAGGGTATCTACTAAACTAGAAAAAAAACACTACTACAATCCTGAGAAAGAGTGCTGCCAAACACCCAGTGTCAAACAAGGAGTAAAGTCTTGACTACATCAAGAACTGAACCTGATCCTTAAAAGCCCTCCTAATTAAGCAAAGAAAACCCTTAATAATTAGAGTCTCTGCACATTTCTCAACTGATCTCATTACCCACTTTTCTAATTCCTTGTTCTTACTCTCCCTTATGAAGCTACTGACAGAAAAATAATGCTGTTTCTCTCATCTTTCCCCAACTTCTGTATAATCAAAGTCATGGAAGAGCAGGACCTTCACCCTGGAAACCTACTGGCAGGTTCCAATTCGGAAGCTGTTTCCAGTTCTTCAAACACACAGAGAAAGTTTGTTCTCTGAACTGGTTAGGCAAGAAACATGAAAGAGTGGTGAGAAGGTTTCTCCTTAAAACTAGAGTGGAACAAGAGCAAATCAAGGGCTGCAGAAACAGATGGCAGGAGAGAATAGAGGCAAGGGGGGGCGTGGAAGATGGGAAGGAAATCCACGTAATTGCACAGGCCTAGGGAAATCCGACTTCAAGTGACCTGGCAGCCAGGATGGTTATGGATGGCTCTCTCCTGATGCATAAAGGCCTGTCACCACAGAATTGTTTCATCCAAGGGAGACTAGAGTCCTTTTAGGTAACCATCTCCCCCTGACACCTGCAGCAATCTGATGGTGCTGCAGTCCCTGATGTCCATGCAGAGTCCCTGCACAGGCTTTGTGGCATGCAAGCTGTACACACTGTCACAGTGCTGCACAAAAATCAAGGGAATCAGTTGTGGATGTTAGCTCTGGAGCAGGCAGCAGAGAGCCTGTAGAAATTACAGGCCACATAGCTTTCTCAGTCCAGCCTGAGAAAGTAGCCTGGGAATTCATAAGGAGGATTCAAAACAATCCTCAAAGACAGAAAACAGCCTTGCAGGTGCTGTTTCTCTGTCTCTTGTTTCCTTTGCAGGAGAAAGTCAGGGGGTAGTCTGCCCCACTGACCAATGATGGTGATGTAGCAGTTTGCTAACCAATAAGAGTTTCCTTTCTGTACTTTCCACGTATCGGTCTATAAAGAGACCTGAAGTAATAAACTAGAGAAATTCTCCTAATTGACTCCTAGAGAGTCTGTGTCGTTCATTCTCACTGTTCCTAATAGAGCAACAATAAGTCCTTCCAATATCCGGAAGGTGTCATCACAGTGGCCTCCTGATGCCATAAAAGCCACCTCACTGCTTTCTGTTCCACATCTTATAAATACAAGGGTCCCAGTATTTGCTTGCAATTTGCTGAGCTTTGAGGCCCTCTGATGGCAACTGTCATTGAAGAGAAGACGTGGAGCAGAGGGATTGCCCACCTTTGTGTGGCACACCAGAGTGATAGCTTCCAAAACCACAGCTGAAGTGATATGGGAGGAATAACATTGTCAAGAGGTTGTGAGGGGACACATCCAGGAGACCTGACTCAAATTCACCAAAGACACATTCCTTACCACATAACATCATGCTACAAAGCTGTCAGATGGCAGTTTTCCCAATGTAGCCATTGTTCAGAGACAGGCTGGGAGGTGATGAGTGACAGACTTCAAATAATTTGGTTTTTTTTGGTTTTCCCTTTCTTTGATTAAACTGCCTTTATCTCAAACCACAAGTTTTTCTGCTTGCCCATCCTGCTGTGGGGGAATGAGCAGATTACTGGATAGGAGCTACAGGCCATGTTCAGTCCACATTTTCAAACAGAGAGAATGTGGGAGCTTTTCCAGAGATAAAAGTTGTAGGACTTAATGTAAATACCAGTCTAAAAAACACTAAAATATCAGACATCAGTGTTTTCTGGTGTGCATTTTCCTTTAACACTCTGGCACAGATTTGGAATAAAAATGCAAGTGTTTCTTTTAGCAGGCACCTGATCTGCACAGCTGTCTACTGTAAATGTCACAAACTACTGCTGTGACAAAGTCAGCAGAAAGACATCAAGCTTTGGAATAAGTGGGGCATAACATCACCTATAATCTTTGATGTTTCATCTCCATTAAGTAAAAAAATTTCATGAATTCTCACCTAAAGTCATGACATGTAACACTGACACTGAAAAGACTCAAGCTAGATAAAGAAACCAGTTCAAGAATACTACCTGAAGCTTTGTTATTAATAAAGTCTGGGGTAATTTTCTGTACTTTCTGCAGTATATGTCTTCACTTCAAATGTGAATATTTGAGAAACACTTGCTGTACCATTTTTAAAATGTCAAAAACAATAGGATGATTATATTAATAACAATTCCATTTTCAAGTGAGGCTACATTAGTCATACGGGCTTTATTTTAATAAAAGGATGACTACTACATGCAGTGCTTGCCTTACTTATGATGACTTCAAGAAAACATGATATCAGCATGTATTTTGATAGAAAAAGACACAAATCCCATAATTACCAGGTGAATTGTGACCTCTTTTTTCTTCATCTTTGTATTCTTAATACAAAAACATACAAGATTTTCTATCAGAAACTTAATTCTTCTGGTCAGTAAAGAATTCACCAGCTTTTCAGATTTATAGGCATATACATACAGAAGTACTCACCTGAGCAATCCCTAGTAGCTATACAGTTTTTTGGTTTTTATCTTTTAAAAAGATACTCATAAATAAAAATGTATTACAGACATCTTTTTTATTTAAATTATGTTTACAATTCTGTCATTGATTATGAGAAAGATATTTAAGTTCACTTTTCTTTATCAAACACTAAGCTTTTAGTCTGTGGCAAAATGAGAATGTTTGATGGAAGTATATGGTTTACTGAATGATATATCAATAGCATGAAAAAAGGAATTATTTGGCAGTTATAGGCATATTTACCCTGAAAAGCCAAATGCATCTTGCCAGACAATCCATCACCATTTCTACTTCTGTTCATAGTGTAGATATTGGCCTTCCTATTGCTCCTTCTCTAGGTCACTAAAAACTTCCCTTCCTGTAAAATAACAAAAATAATCATGAGGATTGAAGCCATACTTTAAAGCAGTAAATTATATTAGCTCATTGTCATCTTTTGCAAAGTAAATACTCCCATTCTGTAATAAGTGTATTAATACTGCTGAACGATGCAAAAATTATTTTGCATTTTAAAGTGTTGGTTTGAAATGGAAATACATAATGAACCATACTCCAACCTTGATTAGCTGGTATGGAACAATTTCTGGCACTGAGAATAAAGAAGCCGAACAGTACCTGCATAATTACCTGTGATCGTCTAGGGTGCACATATTTCATCTTTTATGTAAAAAACCAGCAAAAACAAAAATCCACAGATCAAATTAATTCTGGTTCATGATACACTGTCATGATACAAGTTAAATACAGAATATATGCACACACACATAAGTTGTTGTTTTGATGTTCCTCCATATATATATTTAAACACTCAGACATGGATAAAATATGAAAATGCAATATAGCTTTAAACTAGCAACTAACTCTGCTTTAATTAGCCTTTCCAGTAACTCCTAGTGGTTTAATATCACATAAATATTGTTCCATAGGGTTGTTTTTGAGAACTGGCAAAGCCTGACTGATTAAATTTCCCATAAAACCTCCCAGTATCAATTAAGTAAAGAAAAATATGCTCAAGTAATTTCAAATGAGGAAGGACTAGTCTAAGAGTGTTGTATCACCTGACCTCCAGTGACTTTAAAAACATTTGCTTCTTTCACAGCCATGACATATGGTTGCCTTATGCATGCCAATCATTTCCAACAGCTATGCAGCTTTAAATCATAAAAATTCCAGGACAGAAAAATCATACCAGAAGGTCACAAAGAGCATCTGACCCACAGCACCATAAGTCAAATTGAAGAATTTATAAAGAGGCACCTAGTCTCTCAAGAAGAAACAGTAAATAGCTTCTACAAGAATTTTTATGAAATCACAGATGGGTTGAAGCTGGGTCATGTGCTCCATACTCCTGCTCAAGCGCAGCCATCTAGAGCCAATTTCTCGAGACCACATCCAAATGGCTTTGGAATGTATCTCCAAGGACAGACTTTATAACAGCCCCAGGCAAGCTGTGGTAGTGCTCAATAATTCTTGCAGTGAAAAAGTATTTTCTGTGGTTTGGATGGAGTATTCCATGGTTCAGTTTGTGTTCATTGCCTCTGGTCCTGTCACTGAGTACTACTGAAAAGAACCTTCCTTTCATCCTCCTTTCAGGTATTTATATCTACTGACAAGATTCCCCTGAGCCTTCTCTTCTCCAAGCTGAACAGCCTGAACTCTCTCAACCTTTTCTCATATGTGAGATCCTCTATCTCCTCAAGCATCTTTGTGGACCTTTTTTGTACCTCTAATATGTCCATGTCTCTCTTGCACTGAAGCATCCAAAACTGAATTGAGTACTCCAGGAGTGGACTCACCAGTGCTGAGCAAAGTGGAGGGATCAGCTTCCTTGACCTACTTCCAGTGCTTTGCCAGTGGCAGCCCAGAATATCATCATCCACCTTTGCAGCAAGGACACGTTGCTGGCTCATGTCCACTCAGTGTCCACTAAGGACCCCAGGGCCTTATCTACAAAACTGGGTGCCCAGGGTTGCTCCTTCACAAGTGCGGGACTGGACACTTCTTGATGAACATCATGGAATTCCTGTCAGCCCATTTCCTTAATCTGTCATCACCTCTCAATTATTACCCTGGCCTGGGGATTTCTTGTTCTTTGATCAAAAATGCCCATGGAACAGAACACCAGGGCAGGCCATGCATACCCATGAATTCCACTAATGCATGTGCCAGGCTACCTTTGAAGAATCACTTCTTCCAAATTTCAGTCTAAATCTTTAAATGTGTTTCCACAACTAATCATCACAGGTTTCAAGGAAGATAACCGTGCACATTCAGTGATCTGAGGCCCTAACCAGTTCTGATGTCTTTAGATAAGCTAAAGCATTATATTCAACTTCCTTCTAAAAGGTGATGGAGTTGTTTGCAGTCAGGTTATTGTATGTTTATTATAAATTTTATTATAATCTGATACCTTAGAGGTTCTCACATACATTCTCTTGTAAATGCATATCTAAAGCAAGAATATATCAAATAATAGCAATTAGAACAAGAGAAAAGAAATCTTTGACTACCAACATACTGTTATAGATCGTGCTACAGTAAAATTTAGAGCATTACAGGAAGGGGAAAGTAACATATCTGTATATGCACCTACAGAGGAGTAGAAAAATTCAAAACACGTTCTCATACAATATGGTAGAGGCACATTTAAGAATGCTCCTTAATTTGCACCCACAAGAAAAGGTTCAATTATTTGAAACTTGAGTGAATATTTTAACCTGAATGTCTGAAACAAGAACATAAAAGTCAGTCCTAAATACACATGCATATTCTAATGTCTGGTAATATTTTAAAATATAGCACTTATAATTTTCTTTATTACATTAGGTTGTTACATAACGTCACGTCAATCCATAACACTTTTTGTTTCCATGAAATATTGAAACCATCTAGTCTTTTATATTTGAGTAAGGACAAGATGTCCAGTCACTTAGTGGGATAAGCACTTGTCAGTTGCACTGACCAGATTTGGATCAGGCTCTAAAATAATCAATAATCCTGACACAGAAAATCAAATCCTAATCCTTTTAAACCATTAAGAGTATGATAGCAAATTCCTTCATAGGACATGCATCTTATGTACTTATTTTTGACTTAAATTCCTTTAATTTTATTATAGGAAATCAGGTGAGGTGTCAGACACTGAGTTGTAATGAAAGAGAAGATGAATAAGGGGAACCATAAGTATGATTTTTGTTATTTGAGGCTACTACACTTGTCATGCTAACCTGGCTCTCTTAAGCCACTTGCCAACAAACAGCACCAACAAAGCAAGATGCTCAGTAAACTGTTTAACTCCCAAGCTTCTTTTGCACAAGTATTTTCATCCTTTTCTGTCATTGTATTAGGCAAATCATGCTACACCAAATAGATCAGTACTCTATTAGCTGAGAAGACTGAGCACAGAGGGAATTTTTTTAATGGGGTAATTCTTGCTTCTAAATCTAGTAATGTTTCCTCAGGAATTTACTGTTGCTTATGCATCCAGCAAATTTACACATTTACAGTTTCAGGCGATGGCCCAATATTATCACTGTTCCCCTTGGCACAAAGCAGGAATATTTTCTAGTCTGTACAAAAATATTGGTCTAAATTTACAGCATTTTTTGCAACACATTTGCAAAACACAGACCTTTTCTAAATCACTCTTCTGAAAAGCAATATCTCATTCTTGAGTGGGCTGAAGATTTTAGTTTTAATCTCCTCTGTTAATTAAGCACTAATGAAAGTAAGTGGTAAAAAGCCAGCTTTTGAGAGCTACTCAGGAGCAATCACACTTTGAACAGTTGATTAATAAAGCATTAAAAATCTCTTTTAGTATAAAGCAGTAAGGAAAAAAACACAATAAAAAAATATCCCCAAGAAAAGTAGATGCTATTTTCTAAAACGTCAGCAGAACCAACAAATACAACTATATAGTTGCACATACATACTGAGATAAACAGTTTTGAGCACTTGGAAACCAGAAAATGCTTGAAAAGATACCTAACAACATTTAAACATCAGGCTGGAAATAAATCCCCAGTGACTCCCTACACTTTAGATTAAAAACAGCACTGGAGTGCTACGCTTGGTATAGCCATAAAGCATAAGATGTGGAATTTGGTTAGCACAGAGACTGTAAACAGACAAAGCCTTTATATATTTTTCTTGTCATGTTGTCCATTAAAGAATTAACTGCAAGTATTTATCTGCTGCTACAAGTTTCTCATCTTAAAATTGTCATGTTTCTACTGCTGATTTTATGACAGTTAAGTCAGATTAATAGTACAAACTTCTTTTTTCTGTACATTATCAGCTTATCCAAGAAGTTCACTCAGACATTTGTCCATCTTATTCACAGGAATGGATGAACCTGTCAGAGACACTGACTCAGCCATAGGAACTAAACAATAGTATTTAGCCTGGTCCAGGGATACCTATGGCCACTTTAGCAGCAGAGTGGCAATTATGTTGGGCACTCAGGGAGAAGCATATCATCTACGTAGTATCATGGTGCCTACTAACAACTTTTTAAGGAAAATTTTTGTCACTTTCTTTTCATTAATAGGTCAATAGCATTAAATTAGAAGTAGAGGAGCCTGCACTCAACTGACCAATGGAAAAAGTATGTGCTATGCATGTATAGAAAATACACAACCACTTATATTATCACCTCTCTTGTTTTTTATATCAACCAGAAATGTTTATATACAGAGTTTTGGCTCATGTTTAAAATATTAAGCACACCTACCATTTACAGCAGGACAATTGTTATTAGAACTTTCTGGCTTAAAGGGGAGGAAAACTGAAATTATACTACTAATGTAAGCTTGTTTAAAAGATACAGCCTGTTGATCAAATTACAGGGAGATGATGCATTTACAGAACCTCTCTTTTCTGTCTCACTTTCCTGGCATTAAAAAATAATTTTAAAAAGGCACTTATAAAAATACAGGCAACAAACATGCTAAGACTACAAAAATGCACTAATAGTGCACATAAATATTCAGAGATAAAGGCATTTGTAGCAAGGTAATTATCTAGTTATTATTTTTTATTTTTTATATTAAACTAGTCCTTCACAGTTGATACCAGCAACTTTTTTGTCTTGCTACACAAATCCATAACAGCCTAAATTTCCAAGAACCTTTCAAACTAAAGAAAGCAAGTAGGCCAATAAAAATAAAAGAAACATGAGCATCCTAGGGTGAATTGAGTAGTTTGACTTGAGAATATAAGTGCAAGCTGACCAAAGAAACTAAGTAACTCTCACCCACAGGTCCATCAACTACACAACCTTAATTGAGAATGCCACCAGATTCTCTATAGAATTGAGACCTGAAAGTTCACACACTCTAACCTATCACAAGTAAAAAACCAACCTACCAACCAACCAAAAACCCCCAAAAAACCCCCAAAAAACCCACAGAAGTTGGTAACACATATTTAAACAGTCAAGGGGGCAATTTGAAAAATCAAGTTTCAAGGGTGCTAATACACATCATAATTATGCAATAGGTCAATATTATTATTTCCACTGATGTCAAAAGCCTCTGGATTATATCCCTTCTGGAAAGTAGCCTTTCCAATAGATGAGCTGCAGGCCAGATTTCTTTGTTCTGTTAGTTAAAAAACTGCCAACACCAATGTCCAACTTTTATCTTAACAATAGACAGGCTCCTATCAGCACAATAGTAACAGCAGAAAATAATTTGGCAGTGGACTGCATAGCTTAATTGTCATCAATAGTCTTATGTCAAATATGTTCTAGACAAGTATTGGTGATCTGTGGCAAAAAGATAAAATATTATATTAAATAACACAATTATATTTATATTGAATATTTATGAAATATTACATTGAATATTATAAATATCCTGAGCCTCTTAGTGCTATGTCATGTGATTATAAAGCTCATCTGTACACAGAAAGAGAAGCACAGAGAAACAGCGGCAGATGCAGCAACCTGAACAATAAATAGCCTGTCCGAGCTCCTCCCAGGACCACCAGTGGCCCATCTCCACAAGTCCATATATGCAGAAAAGAACAAACACAGTCAGGAACCCAATGGATAGACTCTCCAGGGTATCCAGCCTGCCCCAGGGCTGTCTCAGTAGAGACATCAGCCCCATAATCCTGGTGTGAAACCCAAGATGAACTAACAGGAGATAGGTCTCTGGAGCATCTTTTGGTCTGAGAGGACCACTGTCTAATGGCAGAGAATACATTATAAAATATAGGTG